TAATTTTATCAAGACGAAGAAAATACAGCTGGAACGAGCAATGGATACCGCAACGAGCAACACAGGAGGTGGAAGCGCGTTCGCCAGCGATAAACATCAGGAGGAACTGCCCCAAGATCAAGAACAGGGCGAAGAAGAAAACAAAGTCCGCCGGAGCTACCAAGTGGTGCTCCAAGCACAACACCACGTCTCACTCGGACGAGGAATGCTACCAGCAAGAAGGAAAGCGCCCGGAAGACACCAAGGACTCAAGTAAAGCATTCACCGCGTGCTCCAACTGCACTCACTGCTCGTCCGCGTCCAACAAGCACGACTCAAACAATGAAGTGGCACTTGTCGACTTCACCCGGGACGAGGACGCCTTTGTCAGCGGCTTCATGTTCGGCACGTGTTCCCGCATCTCAGGACCCAACTTCGCCGCGAGCTCCACCGGGGTAGGCCTGCTGGTAGACACGGGAGCATCGGAGACCATGTTTGACAATCGCCTCATCCCCGACGGAAACCTCCACGATTACACCCAGCAAAACTCTCCAAAGATCGTGGACGTGGCCGGAGAAAGCCAACTCAAAACAATTGCGCGTGCGGATTCAGGGACTCATCGTTCCGGGACTTGGTCGCAACATTTTTTCGCCCACCTCCCTCCTGAAAAAGGGATTGCGCTGCGTCGTCGAAGAGAGCACTCCGCACCTCCTTATCCAAGACAAGGTGATTCCACTCACACAAGATCCGCGAGACCAAGGCATGTGCACCCTCACATCACGTTCGAGCAGAACGTCCAGCCATCTGCCACGGCACGAAATCCCTCGTGCCCCACCAGAAGCAGTCACAGACCCACACGGCNACAATTGCGCGTGCGGATTCAGGGACTCATCGTTCCGGGACTTGTCGGAACATTTTTTCGCCCACCTCCCTCCTGAAAAAGGGAGTGCGCTGCGTCGTCGAAGAGAGCACTCAGCACCTCACTATCCAAGGCAAGGTGATTCCACTCACACAAGATCCGCGAGACCAAGGCATGTGCACCCTCACATCACGTTCGAGCAGAACGTCCAGCCATCTGCCACGGCACGAAATCCCTCGTGCCCCACCAGAAGCAGTCACAGACCCACACGGCGAACGCCGTCTGCTTTACGCTAGTGAGCGCGGACACCTGGCACAGGAGGCTTGGACATCTCAATGCTCGGAGCCTGGACATCCTTCGGAAGGACACGGGTACCGGGGTGGACTATCGCGACAGTCTCTCCCCTTGCGGGGTCTGCCAGATCGCGAAACACAAGCAGTCCCCCCACCCGAAGCAATCGACTCTCGAACTATCACGTCCTGGACAGCTTGTTGTCATCGACAACATGGGGCCTGTTAATCCACCTGCGAAATATAAAGGAGGCTCCTTCCCGTACGCGTGCAAGATCACCGACGACTACACGAAGATGAAAGAAGTGTACCTGCTTCGCAAGAAATCTGACACGACCGAGGCGGTGCACACGTACAACATGTGCGTCGCAGCGGCAGGAGGCTACCGGATCGAGACCATCCGCTGCGACAAGGCGAGAACACCGGATCCGAATTCCGGGACTACTGCAAGAAGTCAGCTATCAAGCTCGAATACGCCGCCACCAACACCCCTCAACAAACTGGTGTATCGGAACGGGACGGACAAACCCTGGCCGGAGTCACCCGGTGTCTTCTGAAGGATGGAGATTTTCCGCCGTCCATGTGGGGGGAGTTAATGCTGACTGCAGCATACCTGTTGAACAGGTCCCCACACTCAGCACTGGGAGGAGCTACGCCATACTCGAAGTTGCACAATAAGTCACCTGATCTCTCGGGACTTCGGGTCATTGGAGCGCGCGCCTTCGTACACCATGAAGGATATCGAAATAAGCTGGACGACAGAGCTCTCGAAGGCAAGCTATGTGGTTTCGGCCCGACAGCCAGACCTACCGAATATTGAATCCATCCAACGGGTTCGTGGTCGAGAGCTGGAATGTGACTTTCATCGAATCTCCACCCCGCTCAGTGCACTTCCAGTTTTCCACTGAAGCAAACGGGTACGAGAGCGACGTGCTAAGCTTCACCTCACTGCTGGAGAGCCCCCACCCGACGAGCGACCTGGACTTCACGGCGCAGAACGAACTCCTTCGGCAAGAAGTCCGGAAGATGCAGCAAGACAATCTCGCTCGGGAGGAGCTTCGCCTAGAACTGGACGGGCACGAGGACGAACATGGAAACGGGCAAGATCTCGGCGACGGGGACGCTCCATCACCACATCTCCCATCGACGCCAGCTGGACCGTCATCCGAGACCCACACATCTAGCCCCATTCCATCATCATCGAACCCGCCTGAACCGTACACTTCTGCATCAACTGGATCCTCCGGCCTGCGGCGCCTGCAAGTCACCAGAGCCAGCACGCGCGGGAAGCCCACCAGCAACGATCATATCGACGTCAACTTGGTTCCTGCCAATCTGGGAGTCACCATGAACGACCGCGGTCGAGCCCATGCTACAACGGGCCGCGTGGAGCCATCCGGTCTTTCCTTCACTCAGCTGACTGAAATAGCCGATCAAGCCAAGCTCCCATGCCCTGGCGATACTGAGGATTTCGCCCACGTTGCGGACGACCCCTTCACGGTGCCGCGTGCTCACGCCTACGTCACGACCACTCACGAACACCACGGGATCTTGGAGGAGACGAATCGAGCGATCAGAATCCCCAACACCTACGACGAAGCCATGAGCTCTCCCCAGCGCGAAGAATGGAAAGGAGCGTGCAGCAAGGAAATGGACAATCTGCGGAAGCACAACGTCTGCAATCTGGTGCCCCTCAGCAGCGTTCCCAAGACAGAGAAGATCCTCGGAACAATATTCGTCTTCAAGAAAAAGCTGGACAAATCACTCTTCGCCACCGGCCCAGCGAGCACCAGTTGGCTGATATCGCGACCAAGTACCTCCCAAACCACCGATTCGCCTCCATCATTCAGCATATCAAGGACTTTTCGTGTTGATCGAAGATCTGTGAAGCTTCCTTCCATACCCGCCATACCAGAAGGAATTTAATTTCGATACGATGCCAACGGAGGGGTCGAAGTAGACAAGGATATGGTGATGCCGTCCACCATTGTGAATAAGTTGCTTGATCGAGGCGTCGTGTCAGGAAAATCGTGCATCGGGACCACCAGTAGTCGGACACGGTTTGACCTTTGAATACGATTGCAGCAACTAGTCTGCGTAGCAGTAGAAAAGAATCCATCTCTCCGTGGCCTGTATTGTCTTGTTCTAGAAATATTCCGGAAGCATGCTAGGTCAAGGTTGACCGGGACATCTACGTAGAACGTGTGTAGCTTATGGAAGCCTTCTGGAAACTTCTGAAAGTGTTCTAGATTTAGGTTGCAGTTGATACTCTTCTAGAATGTAGGAGGGCTTCCAGAAATCATTCTGGAAGCAGTCTGGATCTTTCGTGTGATTGGCTTTTTTGTCCGGTATTCGAAAAGAGTGGTGCACCCCTAAGCTCGCCGACCACTCTCCCTCCTCTTCAGTACCAACAACATCAATCTGACTCGGGAGTTAGCAACAAATAAAAGCAACTTCATATTTCCATTCCAAGTCTCTCGCGGTTGGAGACGCACAGAGTGTGAACCTCTGAGGTAGGCTACACAGCCTGCCGGCATCTGCAGCATCGTACTGCTGCTAGAGCACAGCGAAATATCGCTGACNGTCTGGATCTTTCGTGTGATTGGCTTTTTTGTCCGGTATTCGAAAAGAGTGGTGCACCCCTAAGCTCGCCGACCACTCTCCCTCCTCTTCAGTACCAACAACATCAATCTGACTCGGGAGTTAGCAACAAATAAAAGCAACTTCATATTTCCATTCCAAGTCTCTCGCGGTTGGAGACGCACAGAGTGTGAACCTCTGAGGTAGGCTACACAGCCTGCCGGCATCTGCAGCATCGTACTGCTGCTAGAGCACAGCGAAATATCGCTGACAGAGAGGGATTCGTCGCTTTGGGTCACACGCTTGCCGCCCAGCTATGAAACGCCCACCGCTGTGCTTGCAATGCCCTTTTCCCCGGTGTCCCTTCCCCGCGCTGCTGGTGTACGCTCACATGCGCGTGATGGTAGAGTGATGCCACAAACCCCACCGGTGTTTTTCCCCCCTCCGGGTGAAGCATACGTTCCTTCCGCAGTGTCAGGTGTCCCGCCCGCTGAAAGCAGCGTCGTGCCTCCGGTGATGTCTGTACCTCATACCGCTCCCAGGAGTGTTGTTCAACCCGCTGTGTCGAATTTTCCGCCCGCTGCTGCCTGCGTCGTACCTTCCACGGTGTATGGTTTCCCGCCCGCTGCAAACAGCGTAGTGCCCGCTACTGTGCCCGGTTTCCCGCCCGCTGCAAACAGCGTAGCGTCATCAATTGTGTACGGTCTCCCGCCCGCTGTCAGCAGCGTCGTTCCTCCGGCAATGTATGCCCCCCCTCCCCGCTGACAGGAGAGTGGTGTTTCCTTCCGCACCTCAAGTGCCGAATGGTATGGAGTTGGTAGCTGCCCTCGCCCGATATCTCCATTTTTCAGGAGAGTAATGACGATGATGACCGTGGATACATTCCGCACACAGAGCAGGGAGATCACGAGTGGGCTGTGTACTTATTGGAACAAAGAGGGGTATCAGAAGACCCCTACGAGTTGTTAGACTTGATGTTTGAGGCTGGATTTGCAAATGTCTCCGATGAAGTTGCTTTCGCTGTCCCCGTCATGGCCCCGGGCAAGCCCCCTTTTTCGGTGGGGAAACCCACCAAGATTATTGACGTTAACCTTCTCCACGTTTCGTGCTCCCACGCCAATGACTTTCTTTTGCGTGAGCTTGCGAAGCAGCACGGTCTCCGACTGACCGGTGTCCTGCAGCCTTGTGGTGGATGTCTGCAGGCGAAGGGGAAGAAGGCGGGCGTGCCTCACCAATCGGGCACGCGCGCCGAACGGCCGCACGATCTTTGGCATATTGATCTGTGTGGGCCGATGACGGCCTCGGTGGGGGGTTGTTTTCATCATCATGTTCGTGGACAGCTTCTCGCGGTGGATGAAGCTGTACGGGATGAGGCGCAAGTCGGACACCCTCGCCTTCGTCCAGAAGTTCCTCGCCGACATGAGTGGCACCGGTGTCCCTCGTTCTTTCTGGATGGACAACGGGGGGGAGTTCGTCAGCCGCGACTTCATCGCCTTCTGCGACAACGCCGGCATCCGCCGTACGTACACGGCGCCGGGCACCCCGCAGCAGAATGGTCCGGCGGAGAGTGCGATCTGGCGCGTGAACAAGGCCGGCCACGCCGCTCGTCTCGAGGCACCCCGCCTGTTCCCCAAGATCGACTTCACCCGCGTCCCCGGCTTTGGACGCGATGGCGAGCGACTTTGGCGAGAGTCGTGTCACTGGGCTGCCGGCGGCTTCAACCGTTCTCCGACCAAGGCAAACGTCGGGTACAAGTCGCCGCACGAGCTCTTCACCGGCCGCCCGCCCCCGATCCAGATCCTCTCGTTCTTTCAGCCGGGGTACATGCGTGTGATGCGCGCGCGGAAGATGGATCCCCAGGCAGTGCTGTGCTGCTACCTCAACAACGGCGACAACCATCACGAGTCGG